GTAAAGATGTTGGTTTTTTGGTAATCACTTGGGAAAATATTGGGACAATATTTCATCTGAATAAGTTCTAGCTGAGAACTTTCCCAAGACAACCATAGATCAGTTGATTAACATGTAGTGACACATAAAAATGAATACTACAATATATTGTACATACATTGATTATAATAAGGAAGTCCACTTCTACTGCTGTTTTAACAAGTCTCTCTGTTGACAACAACAGCATAGTCCAGTAATGACGCTGGAGACAAACCTGTCCTCTATTGTAACAACACATTCCTCCTCTGGGTTCCTCTCCTGAAATAAACCTTCGTTAACATTCCAGACATTGACCAGAAGTGATAACTGCTCCACCTGGCATTGAAATTCCCCTCAGCCCACATTTCCTGGGAGATTTATCCCCTTGTTCATGCTGTATTTACAGAGGCAGCAGGCTATCAGACAGTAAACCGCTGTGAGCAATCAAGACCATGGTTAAGTTTGTCCAACAACCTGCATAGAATGAAATATAGATACAGAGCCACAAGGTAGGGAAAGCCTGACTTTGATTGCTTTTTCAAATGTTTGAAAAGCTTTTTTGTAAGCCATTTTCCTATTACTACATATTCATTGAATTGAAAAATGAAATGGAATATAACCTTATAAAAGAACCTTTTCTCTGGACTCTCTCAACAATAACAGGCAAAAAAGAGAATGAATTTGCCATTTTTATGTTACATAAATGCCTGAGACAAAAGGACAACTACAAGCTCTCCCCTTTTGTTTCATGTCTTTGTTTCCTCCTTTTGTCTATTAAAAACTCCATTAAAAATGAAAAGCTCCAGTGCCAGTGAGTCAGTATGGTTTGAGGAAAATATTACTGATTGAAGTGCGTTGGCACTTTCAGAACCGAATAATTCCAAAACGACAAGAAAGAGATTGGCAATGATGGACAAATCTGAGAGAAAAAAGCTAACATTCTCAGCACCACTGGTGGAAAGTAAAAGATGATGGGATGTTGGACTTGACCCTGTGGCTGCGCAGCATGTCTTCATACTTATCTGTGTACAGCCCTGGGAAAGAACACACAGCCTGGAGAGACTAACACACAGCATAATCACCCCTCTTACAGATCAAATTAAGCCCATTACTATCTCTAAACACCACCTCCTGCTAGAAACGTGAGGAAGACTGTCTGCTGTTGATTAACTCATCCTCCAGGCCACCAAAGACATGCAACATGTGGGTCACCTGTTCCCTGCTGAATGTATGAGTATGCATTTACAGATAGGGGACTATAGGCCTTTTTCACTACAGGAATTTAATGAATTGCAACTTAAGGTGTAGCCACTGTCTGAGGTTCTTGTTGTGTCCCAATTGTACACCTCTGTGGGGGCGAGTTCCTGAACCTGAATTTCACTCCAGCTTCCAGGTACTCTCGCCTTTGCTGTATTTTATTTTCTCTTACAGAAAAAGAAAAAAGCTCAGAATTGATTCTCTCTCCGCAGTTACTACGCTGTCGCCTCCCTGATTTCTGACTCATAAGAACATTGTGTTGGCCTGACTTGGTCCTGCCTTACTATGACAGTGCCCCCATCCACAGAACCATTGAAAGTATGTATAGTGGAAAGAGCTTATGGTTATGAAGCCAGTCTTCATTCTATGTAATGGCCAGCAGGGGGCAGCTCAATGGGCTGCAAAAAATAAAGTAAAATAAAATAGACCATCTCAACCAGCTCAACGCACCAAACTCAGATCAGTGCTGATTAGGGCAGCACCACTAACTGCAAAATAACATGGCTACGGCCATAATGCCAAATTTGAGGCTTCAAAATGAAACTCGAATGGAATGTCGTCTTTTAGAGAAAATATACTATCCAGTTTGTTTAATTCTGATGTGATTCAACCAAATCAGTTCCACATCAGCGGCTTGGTTGTTTATGAAAATGCTTCAATAGCCAAAATGTTTGTGCTTCTTTGTACAGTTTTTGTCAGATTGGCCTGACCAGATCCAGGACTGGTGGAAATCTGTCTGGATGGGAAGGTAGCCAGATTTGTCTGCTTCCCAGGCAAAGTACTCTCTCCACCATCATTAAAACAATCAATAAAGGGGGAACATCTTTTGGTGGAATGCAGATCATCCGTCCAGAAGAGTTTCTCCACTCAATTAACAAACCAACTAATCTGTCATCATGAGCTTAATGTGTATATTGTTGAATGTATTGTATGTTAATTCAACTTAAAATGTTCCTTTTAAATTTTTAGATCAATTTCAGAAATTGTAAACATGAGTTTGTATGACAAGAAATGATTTGAATGAATGCACATTAGCAGGCATGGCCTGAGGGTTAAACTCTCCAGAGGCACTTCTTTCTCACTCATTAATGATGGAAACATGTTATGTGTCTTTTAATGTGTGCTAAGTGATAGTTGTTTCTCCTCATAATAACAAAAATAGTCATAAACATGATGAGGGTTTGTTATCAGTTCAGTTCCTGCCCCACTACACTTCTAATTTCACAAGTGGAGCACCGTCACATGTATGAGCTCCAGGAGCAGCCACAGGTGTATGGCCTTTGTGATTTATAGTGTCTATATTCACCTGTTGAAAGCACCACCACAACACTAGGTGTATGAATTGTGGAATACTTACATTCCCCTCAGTAAATGTTTGTCCTTTAATTCACTTTTTGATATACAGAGTCATGACTGAAAGACTTTGTTTTTTTGTTATGTGTGCTACTGTAAAGAAGTGGTTACTGAGCCTTTGTTCAATCAGGTTCATGTCATCTTGACTCTCAATCTCCACCAGCATCACACAGCAAAAGAGGAATCTCAAGAACATAAAAAAAGCCTTGTTTCTTATTTTTTGTCTAAATAAAAAAATAATCTTGTCAATGATGTTTTGCAATAGAAACATAATCTGGTTTTAAGAAAAATAATCCAACTTTGTTTTAAGATATTACAGCTCCTATTGAGCTAGATTTATCCAGTAACAAATTTACAACAATGATTTGCATAATATCCCAGCAGAGGAACACGATTTTCTTCCTTATTTTAAAAGTAAGACCACTTCTCAGTGTAGGAGAAAGTAGTCTTGTCCCAGTGTTTGAAATGAAGCAGCTGTTGAGTTTCTCATTGTTTTCATAAAAAAATGCTAAAAATAAGAATGCTTCTGGTGCCTTGATTTAAGACAAAGTCACTTATTTTTATTTGTTATTTGTTTGCTCAATACAATGCAATTTCAGTATATTTAAGGATATTTGGCTTGTTTGTAGAAGGGCTGCTTTTGCAGTGCAGAAGAAAACACAAGCAACTCAATCACAGGTCTTGTTGCCTCCATGTCATATCTCTATATCTGCCATAGACCCAACGTGTAGTTAATGCACGACGATAAATCTGCTGGATTCTTAGTTTGCTTAATACTGTGCTCCATAAATGTTACGTTTCCATACAGAAACATTATTCTAGTACCGATTTCTGACTACGCTATATTCCCTGCCTTGCATATGGCTTAATATAGATTAATTAACTGTACTGATCCAGGCTGTAATGAAGCTAGAGAAGCAATTTTTATTGTCCTACTTAGAGCCACAGGACTCTTCAGGTAAAAACATCTCAGAGCTCTCTCTGTAGTGGGCACATAAAAATGAAATTGATATTGAATTTTTCTCATCTGACTCTGGTTTTGAAAGCTACTGAGCATATTTCTCAATGTTGTGACTTTTCTTTAAAGTTACTAATAGGCTATTGACTGCTGGTCCAAATTCAAGCATAGAGGTCTTGGCAGAACTTATCCATATCTCATGGCTGGTTTTTATACAGCATTCTATGGCATTTTCATGTGGCAAAATTGTTTTCTTTTGATGGGTAAAAACTTGTATTTAACAGTAAAATATGGAACTTTAACCATAAAGTCAACAATACTAATATCCCTTTATTGTTACTCTAATGCAGGACAAGGCTGTTTATCAGAGTGAAGGCTTTTTCACAGAAATTAATGAAATGCTCAGATATAGGCTTACTGTTAGGGATGCTCGATATTAGCTTTTCTGCCGATATCCGATATTGTCCAACTCTCAATTTCCGATACCGATATTACCCGATACCGATATATGCAGGCTTTTTACACCAAAACTGTTAGGTAACAACATAACATATCTTCCTATTGTGGAATTAAACATTATGCCTAATTTTATGTTGATGCCCCACTGGATCATTTTCCAAATGTAAACACTGTCTGTGCAAAAATAAACGAAGAACACTTCACTTCATTGTATTAATACTGAAAAGAGCGCTAAGCGCTAGCTTTGGTTGATGTGTTTAATTGATATTATGCACCTGAAGGGGAGTGTTAATGTAAATTCTAAGCAATTGTTAGTTTGGCTAAAGAACAGCTCATAGCAGGGTAAAAATTTAACGGTGCATTGCAACTTATTTGTGTTAATATTAAAATCATTCAGCTTTTTAAAGTGTATTGCTTGTTAGCCACGGTTAAGCCAACCAAACCAGGTCTAGCCGTGTAGTTGTTGTTATACGTCAATCTAGTGCGGCGCCGGTAAACGTCCCATGCCTGCGTTCATGCAGGCTCGGAAATGCGAAGCCTACAGAACAAACATCTGTTATTAAAAAAAAAGTTAAAATCAAGAAGGTTTAGCGACCCACTGTGAAGCTTTGGGGACCCCCATGTCAAAATCACCTGGTCTTCAACCCCATTGAAATCACCTAAACCCCACTATTATCTGAGACTTATCTTAAACTTGTAGTGCACACATTGTAGCTCACATGTCAAACTGAGATATATAGAGGTCAGTTTAAAGGCAACTATCTACAGTTCAGTTTTAACAAATAATCAAAGTTTGCATGTTACAAATTAGACGTGCTCATTTTAATCAGGTTCCACTTGCAGCTACGTTTAAAGCCCTACAGTTCTGGTTGCTAGACCCCTTGCTAGTCAGCTGCCAAGAGACAGAAACAGGATGTATATTAAGCTTTTGTCTTAACACAAACAAAGCCAGAACTTTTTCTTGCTCCTGAACTTAGACTTTTATTGGGGAGATATATTTGGTCAAACAATAGTTACTAAATACAAACGCTACAGTATAATACTGCTTAAATTACACTACAAGCTGATAAATATTAAGTTAATTTCAGTAAAAATACATAAAAGAAACAGAGCATACAGTACAGCAGTAAAGACAGTAAAGCTAAAGCTGCCTCGTCTCACCCTGAAACTCCTGTTCCACTTTCATCTGCTTTTCTGATAAAACACCAAAGTTAGGAGCTGAAAGGTGTGTGTGATATACAACTGTAACCCTCCATGTACCAAGACATAAAACACCCCAGCTTGTGCCTCTGATCTAATCACCGAATAGCTTGTTTGCAGTCACGTGATTCTGATGAAGCGTGAAATTCAGTTCACGTTCAAAGCCACCAGACTTATTTTGATAAAAACACATCTACTTTAACCCTGCAGTACACAGGACTTCCTGGTCTACCCCTCCTTCAATCGCTTAGTTTGTTTGTGACCAGGTAAAATGACTGTTGTCAAAGGGGTCTGGCTTTGAAGAGAGCATAGATGGATATAATGGCTTCAGTTCCCTGTTTGAAAGGTGCTGTCTGACGGCAAGGTAAAGTGGTGAAAATATTCTGAATATAGTGTACAACTAACCCTATATAGATAGTTTAAAATAGGCTACGTTTTGCTGCTGCCCTGTCAACAGAACTTGCATTTGCCATTTTTATCTGCGTTTTCTGTTTTTGAGTGTTTGTGATAGTGCTTCCTGTGTAGAAAAGCACTTCATGCCCTCCATCAGCAGTTTGCGCCACAAGAACACAGTGACATGGTGTCACCTACAAACAAGCTATTGTTCCCTCCTAAGTCCCAACCCTTTTTGCTCTGTGCTTCAATAATAGGTCACTGATGTAATTTTAAAGATGGTTAAAAAGATAAAAGCAATATATATTCACATATTAAGTTAGCTAATGTTAGCATAAAATTAGCTAACTAGCTAACTAACAAATAATGTAAATTAACTAGCTGGTTACCTTTTGCTAACATTAGCTTTCAGATGTAACTAGCAAACAATTGATTATATTAGATTAAATTAGCTAGATAGTAAGCGTTTACCATTTTGCTAATATTAGCTAGCTAAGTTAAGATGTAATATATCGCTTTTATTTTTTAAATCATCTTTAAAATGTGGTTGTCTTTTCAACATAGACGAGCCAAGCACATAGCATACCTCAGTCCAGAAAAGGTTGACCGAGGTTCTGATCAAGGCTGTTACTGGAGGACAGAGCCAAAAAGGGGTGGGACTTCCGAAGGGTAAATTCACATTTGTGACTATAGCTTTGATGATAACATTCAAGTCACAGAAAACATCCACAGCATTAAAACAAAAAGCACAATGATGATTACATGAGAGGCTCAGACTGGGGCTAACTCTTGACAAATTGTTATGCTGAGAAAGGCCTCCATCCCCAGACTGGTCCACATGTAAACAGAGGCAGGGATGATGGAGTAGAGATGTTCTTGCAGGGCAGCTCCCTCCTACTGGAAACCAGCTGCTCAGGTCAGGGATCAGACTGGGCAGGAGCGCCGTGGTGACACTGTAATGACAGCAGCTACCTGTAAAACACAAGCAGAGCAGACAACAGGCATCAATCACCCAGCAGACACCACCGCCTCATGCTAAGCAATGGCGCCTTTGCAAAGCACAGGAGGAGTACAGGAGGCCTGCCTCAGGCTTATTATTCACCTTCATCTGTGAATTATTAATTGGTAAGAAACCAATTTGTTCTTTTTATTCTAAAAGTGTCACAGGTTGTGGGAAGTAATTTATGATTGGTGGTCAATGGCTGAGTTTTAATTAAGTCCAGGCCAGAGTTCACAGTGCTGGAGATGGAAGTGGTTCATTAATCACCAACTAGCAGACTAGCCCAGTACATGAAAGGCCAAAGCGCATCACTTTTATCTGAATTACAGTTAATAGTTGGCCAACAGGAAACATGTAAGTGAATTAAGCCCTGTGAGGAAGGAGGATTCTGAGGATCATGTTGGCGTTTGATCGACAGACATGTTGAATCCGATCAAAATATGGATTTAGAATGAATTCAGGTGCTTCCCAACATGGACTAATTAATATATGATCAACAAACTGAGAGGTATGACTCTTATTGATTCAAGTCACCGCACAATGAAAGGAAACGTCACATGATTTCACGTGACAAGCATACCTGTCAGTTAACAAAAAAAAAGATTATAGGAAACTATTGTTAGCAAGCAAAAATTACAAAACACTGAGGCTTTTTGAAAGTGTTAGAAAAGGCAATATTGGGTGTAGAATCAGTAAGCTTTAGATTGTGAGTCACTAGTACCATGTCAAAATGGTACTATTTCTAAAACAAAACAGTAAGTAATTTTGAGCAATAGGATAGCGATCAGTATGGTAGTTTTGTGTAGAAAACATTGGTAAACCACCAAAAATATGCAGCAGATGAACATATTTGTTTACCCGAAACATCACCAAACATTTTCTGCTATCGTTTTTTCATCATCCATTTGTTAAAAAGTACCATTTACAATGAACCATTACTCTATGTAAATCAAACATAATAATAAATATTAAATACAAATTCCTAGCAATTTATTTATATATATTAAAAATATATGAATACATGTATTTAATATGAGCATTAATACAATGTTTGCTATATGCTTCGTCAGCATATTGTGTGCTTTACAGAAAGTGGCTTGAAAGTGAAACTATGAAAAGCTGTCGCTGTAGGCGATAATGGTAAATCGTAAATTTAGTAACACATAAGAAAAGACTCAGCATTGCCAGCTGCACAGTATCTGTCAGTGTTTAAGAGACCCAACAATCCACTAGAGGATACCATGTCAATGTTTACCTTTTGCCTCTCCTAGACGTGAAAAGTACACGTGTGTAGGTGCAGTATAAAAAGTGATGGTGCAAACAACCACAGGATTTCCACCCAGGAGGCCTTTGTCTTGTCAGGTACAAAATGCAACTTACAATGTTTTTGTAAAGCCAACCAAACCGCAACCTCAGCAAGCTTCAGCTTGGCGGTCCTGACTCCACCAACTCCCAGCTAATCCAAAATTGGACATAGACGTGGAGCGTGGGTGAAGCAGAGGCGGGCTGAATGAAGCCTGGTTGCTGAAACCAGATGGCTGTGATGGCACCCACCTGTCAGTCAAGAGAGCCATGCCAATCCTAATCCTTAATATAATTTAAACAAGTGAGTTATATAAAAATGAACCCCTAGTACAGTTGTATCAATCGGAGCAATTAGCTAACCACCAAAATCGCTTTTTGTACCAGGCTGTAAACATGTTTATTTCTGCTGTAAAGTTGGGCTTTTTATTATAGGGCCTTGTGGAGATTGACTTGCTTTTGTCTCAAGCCAGTCTCAAGTGGCCGTTAGAGGAACTGCAGTTTTTGGTACT